ACAGCAAGAGGTGACAGTCTAAACTGTAGGTCAATGGTCAAATAACCCAGCCAGGACTGTTCTTTGGCTACTGTTTGCAGAAGAGACAAAGAGTATCAGACCATCTTGATATTTTGGGAACACAGACAGAAATTTAAAGTGTGGTGTCTCACAGTAGACTGACTTTAATACTGAGGAAACATTTAGCTATTTATGGAGGTGATTATATTTTCTAATCTGACACCCGTGTGAGAAAACGCTTTTCAATTTCTTGCCTTTAATACAGAATATAGCACAACTTTAGCTTGATATATGCCCATTTAAGGTCAAACACACAAATAATTTTGTCCCATGGTCCTCTGGGAGCAGTAGTTATTAGATGACACACTCCCCAAGTCTCTCATAAAACCCAATATGGACAACTACATCTGTTCACTGCTACTCTTTAATTTGGGTGAATGATTTGATTTGAAGAAATGATTTAGTGAGAACTAACCAGGTCATGAGCCATCCATTCATGAATGTGTTTTATATCACTTTCCCTATGAAAGGACAGAGAGTGGCTTAGGCATTTTGTGAGTCACTTGTGGTGAGTGTGTGGGAGAGAGTATTATGTAATATTTGCTGTAACATAAATATTCACCACTAATTCTAAACTCATAATGTGCATGAGTTTCTAGTATCAAAGAAGCACATTCAAAGTCTATTAATGACGTGTGTCTTTAAAAATGACTAATGTTTGCATGCAACTGCAGCATGCAACCATAGTCAAATACAACTCTGTTGTTTTTACTGGTTCAGTTCTGTTTCCTGTTGATGTAGCTTCCTTGAGAGAGAAACTCATAGTGTGTGGACACACATGGCCATCCATCACTGATCAATGTTACGAAACAGATACTGTAGACACAGACTGTCAGGGGAGAGTGAGAATGTGAGTTATATTGCTGGTGTCCAGGGAGCAAAGAGGAAAAATAATACGATTTGAGAGAAATATGACCAGCAGCTCTGTGTCTGAAGAGGGGAAACAAGGTTTGAAATACCACTACTGCCGTCATGGCTTAAGGGAAGACATTCATAAGGATTAAAGGGGGAGGGGGGAGAGAACAAAAAGTGGATGAAACTTTAACAAACCCCCACTACTACTACAAACTACAGAAAGATTCACTACAGTGAATTCTGAAATGAAATAGATTTAGGCTAAAGATGAGAAATAGTGGAGGTTGGCACTGTCCCGTAAAGTAAAAGCAGGCGTCTTGATCCTAACACATAACAGATGTCCCCAATGAACCACAACTTTAAAGAAAGTAGGGGCCTCTTCTCCTTTCCCCTTCTGACACACCAAGAGATGGAAACATCATTTTGACCTCTGCCAGTTAAACCATAGCTAAATGAGATCATAAATCTCCTGGTTGAAATGTCGAAAGTTGACTTTAATCACTATTTAAATGTTCATTTTGTTGATTAAATTAATCAAAGATGAAAGAAGCAGGGTTTCATAGAATGACTGTTCATTACTTTAGCTTATTTGCAACTGTATACACATAATACAGAAAAGTTCAAGGTTGCCAAGCATGTTTGTTGAATAATTAATTTTGTGGTGACAGTAATCCTCGTAAATCCTTCTCATACTGTTTTCTGTGGTGTTTTTTTCTTTAAAGGCCACGGTGTATTTAAATATCTTTTTTAAATGTTGGGAACTGTCCATGTTGTGATGTTAATGTTGATTTTTGATGGGTTTGTGATTTTGAAAGTCTGCTCTTTCGACCAGGTAAAATAAATGTCAAAATAAACTACATTAACATTACATACATACATTAAAAATATTATCATCTTCCATTTATACACATTCAAAAATAATCGAATTGTTTTAGATTATATGGTTAAATATTTAAACCTTGTTCGTATATTTTCCATATTTCCATCCAGATCCCTCCTCTGCCTCGCCAACAGAGTCTGTATCTTGTTGTTGCAGTTCAGATGTTTTTCTGCTTTTGTCTTTCATTGATTTTCCATCCAATTTCCCATCCGGAGGAAATTAGGCTATGCAAAAACAATTAAGCAAAGGAGCTTGTCTGGAACAAGAATAAACAATCTCCCATTTGGTCAGCATCCTTCCACATGGTCCTACATCAGGCATTTCTTTACGTTGTATTTCTTTTTCGCTTCACTGAGCCCTTAGCTGTATGCTTAAATAATATTTAGCAGCATTAACCTCAGCAGCACACTCTATCAGAGTACAAGCATTACAGATAAGCATCTCTGACAGCTTCCTATGGTCTCACTAACACCACTTATGTACGCCACGTACTGTTCTGCAAAACAGTAAGCGGTCCAGCCACATGGTACACACCACAAAAACCCCCCTTATATACACACACACTCCTGCTAACCCAAACCCAGATCCAGCTACAAAGATCCTTTTGTTCCTTTCCACTCAAGGAAAATGGCAATGCACGCAAGCCTTTCACTGCAAAATCAGAAAGAGTGCAACCAGTAGCGGCTGACGCAGGAGGGGACGGAGGGCAGCTGAATATGTTTTCTTGCCCCATCTGGAAAGTGTTGCACACTTCACTCTCACATACTTGTTTTTTGTAGTAAAGCAATTTACTGCTATCTATTCAAATAGACGATAGAGAGGGTGGAGTTTAATAATGGTTTACTGCAAACACTCAGGTGACTCCAGTCTGAAGTTATTAAAGTCTAATAACCTCCATCAGATACGGCAAATGGGAGTCAAGCATGTTTTTAAACTGAATGCTAAAGGCCTAGTTAACCTGGCATTGACTCTAGAACCCCTTTCACACATGCACTGCACTCCTGAAAATGTCCCATCAATGTCCGGATGGATCAGTGGTAGGGTCGGTCTTCTCTCAACTAGAAGGTCGTGGGTTCAATCCCCACAATGTGTCTTAGTGCATGACCTCGAAACCCAAATTGCTCTTGCTGCTGCTTCAGCTGCGTGTGAATGTGTATGAATTAATTAATTAATTCCGACGGACATGTAACCTGCAGTGTGAAAAAGTTCAGTCCAGTAATGTAAGTAAAGTTACTTAAAAAAAGTCTGCACAAACTGGATTGAGACAATGACTGCATTTATATGAACTTGAGTATCCTGTAATCCGAGGACAAGCTCTTGTCCCAACTTTGAGAGAACCTATTTTCTACCTAGAGAACTCTGACAGAAAATCGGATACCATGTCATGCCTCACCCCGACTTCTGACAAGTACCTGTGCAGGCGCTCAGCCTAGTGACGTAACATCAAAACAAAAATGGCGGCAGAAATGTGAGAATCTTATGGTGTGTTCCATTTACAACAAGTCGAGCAACAGACAGGAGTTCCTCTATTTTGTTAGCTTTTACTGGGCGACAACAAACTTTGTGATAGTTTGCGTTTGAATGCGACATAACAACATGTCCATAGATATATAACTTGCACCATAATATCAGTTTGATGTATTTAACTACACAAAAAGAGGACTAAGTTGATTATAAACACTAAAATGTACAGCTCAAACTTTACTGTTGATGCGCATAGCAGCCATGTTAGCTTTTAGCTCATGCTACTACAGTTCCTTATCATTTCCAAGTCGGAATTCCGACTCTAGTTCCTGATGTTGAATCCAGTTTATTAACCGAATTTTTGACTTCCAAGGTCAAATGAAACGCACCATTACTTCTGGAGCGACAAGGAAACTGAGTTTTGTCTTTCGGAAATGAGAGATTTAAATATTATTGGACATTTAGATGGGACCTATTCAAGTCTGTGGTTAACAGCCTTGTGGATGCCGGTTTCCCAACAAGTACGGTGGAGATAGTCAGGTCACGTTGTAAAGTACTGAAGAAACATTACTATGGCCAAACATCAGTACAAAAGAAGTGGCTCTGATCCAGCCACTTTCAAATTTGACAAAATCTTGGACTAGATGCTTTGTCACCGTCCGCTGCCCACCGTAACAGACGGTGAACATCACAGGTGCCTGCTCAAATAAGATGCAGTAATCATAAACCAAAACCGTGATACAGTTCATATCAATATCAGTCCATGTATACCAAGTCATTGTGTGATTGCAGCAGGTAATAGTCTGTAACATACAACAATAGAGAGTGGGCATGGTCTCGGTTTCCGGTTTTAAGTTTTTTCTATTATGTTTGTATTGTGAATATGTCCTTATGTTGTAGTGATATTAACCCAAAGACAGTCACCATTACAACTTCCCTTCTCCTTGACACGCTACGCTGGCACGCACCCCTCACCTAAACTAGTTTGTGAAACCACGCATGACATTGAAAGCCTCCCTGCTGTATGGCAAAAGAATGACGGCCAATTCTGAAAGTTACAGGTCCTGACCTGACACTGACAGTTTTCTGCTATGAGGTTCATGTGTATGTACCTTATTGAATGTGGGCTTTACATTTGCAATGTGATGGATGTGTTCATTTTGTGTGTGAAACTGGGCGAGAGCTGTTCTGTGTGCTGTCTTGTGGACTGCTGTTTCAGATGTCCTGTAAATGTAACATTTGTTCAATGTATTTGCACCTGCCTTAAGAGAACATTTCAAGCACATTGACGATGAGACGCACTGCTGATAGGCTTGTCAATGTGAAAATCCTAGTTCAATAAATGTAATATATTAACTAGCATGTATCAAAGGGGATTCCTGAAAATGGCAGGATCTGAATATCCTGAAATTGTCTGGATCTTGCAGGAGTTCATGTATAAAAAGGGGATGAAGTCCATAGACAAACATGTATATTTGTGTAGCGCAACAGACATTGTAGCAGAGACTTTTTCTTTATAAAAGAGTGATGAAGTGGTCGAGCAGGCTGTATAAGATGTCACTGCACAGAAATCCGAGACGTCTCACACAAAGAATCAAAGCAGACTGTGGAAGTTTGTGTTTAGGTGACTTTCTAAGCTCCGACTGGTTTGGTGAGGCCCAATGTTTGGACTAGCATTGTGGGGGTTTGGGTCACAAAATGCTCTGTCACGCTCTGAGCATGCAGCCCTTTCAGGTCTTACCTGTTCTCTCTCTTCTCTCTGGATTTTCTGTTGTAGCACTGGCCTGCTTCTCCCACTCCAGCCCCTCTGGCTCCCAGCAGCCCTGCACAGGCCCCTTCTCCTCCTCGCTCAATGGGAGGTCCATCTCCCCTCCATCTGAGAGCTACACACAGAGATGTCTTTGTCAGCGCTGGAGCCCTGCTCTGATGAGGAAGTGATGGTAAGATTGTACAAAGTGCTTATGGTCACACAACCACAAAAACATTATTCCAGTGGCTGTTTTTTCCACTGTTCCCTGAATCTTTTTCATCCTTTTCTCCATTACACACACATCAAGAATGCAGCAGGAATCACTGAGGTCGACTTTCTGCCACAGAGCTTGGATGAGAAGTGCCTCTCAGACAGCACTTTCAATCTTTATTTAAAACTCAGCATCACCAGAATAGAGGTAGACAGATGAAAACGGTGTTATCAGCCTTCTTCAAGGATGCTGGGAAATTATAATCACTGTTATTCCGAACGCTGTCTGCCAAGGAGGAAATGATTTATCAAGATAAACGAATTTAGACATAAAGAGAAACCTATGGACATTTGTGTAAACTCTATATGTTGGAACTTCAAGATGATGTGTTCATTAAATGCAACTTATGGATCATCTCTTTTGTAGACAAACATTTAAAATTAAAAATGGACTTTGAATACCAAGTGGCTGCTATACCACCGATCATAAAACACTTCAGGAAAAGTGATCACCTGTAACATTCTGTTTGACTTGCAGCAGAATTCTCACTGTAGATGTTCTACATTTATATAAAAACAGAAGAAACAATAAAAGTACAAAGGATGAAGGATGGAAAAAGGAAAGAAAATGAATAGTCCTGGTTGCGGTGAGGCGTTAGACCAGCCTGCATGGGTTTGTTTATGGTCAGATGGTTTAATCACTGCCACTCTGCTTCCTGTTACTCAGAAACATCCAAGATTCCTCACAAGCACTGAACAGAGACTTGAAATTCTTCCATTCCTCTCTCTCTTTATTCCACTGCTTTTGACCATTTTAGGTTTATGCAAAGCCGTGAAATAAACTTGGTAGGAATTGATTTGAAGAAAAGAGTCAATGGAAGTCATGCTCTGTAGGCCCTGAAAAACACCTCCATATGTATATGTTATAGTCCATTTTTTTTGCACTACACTACACTACATTCTATGCAACCAGCAACTGAACATACAAACAAATCAACAACTCACCCACTGTTGATTGGGCATGGCTACAGAAGTCAGCATGTCAGCCATGGCTCCCAACATCTGGTCAGTGCGTCCTTGATTCTTCTGTAGAGCCTTCATGCTCCCCCAAAACTCTCCTCAGATTGTCCTCCTCTGTTTTTGTGACCTTTGTCTACCCAACTCTCACGCAATCTCCCTCTCTCTCTCTCTCTCTCTCTCTCTCTCTCCTCTACCTTCTCTTTCCTTTGTCCGCCTGTTTTTCTGCTCCCTCAGCTCCTGTCTCGCTGTGCACTGTGCCACAAATTGGAGCTGAGCCACCACAGCCCGCCTCGTCCTGCCCTGACACACAGGAAACCTCATTCATATGAATAATTGATCCTGGAAGAGGGGGGGCATGTTGCTGTCTGGACCTGGGAACATAACAGCACTGGGACAGGAACCAGTGGACTTTTTCTTCCATGTCCCCGTCTCTTAAGTCCCCCAATTTAAAGACAGGTGAGCTGGATGCAGGTAGGCTTTAGTCAAGCAAAAAAAAAAAACGTTCCCTTCCAATAAGAGCTTCCCTTGACACTCTGATGGAAGGATTTCGTTGACCTTTTGGTTTAGATTTGGTTCCTCAAGTCCTCTTCTTTGACATCCATCCAAATGGGGAGTCTACACAGCATGGAAGTCTTTCTCTAAGTTGTTGTTCTTCTTCTCTCCTACTGTCTGAATGTTGAAACAACTTCAGGATTGTCCACATCACCCTCCCTTTCTTGTCCTTCATTGGCTCAACATGATCACCACCCCTCTGCCCAAAACATCTCCTCCTTCCATCAGTCTCCCTCTTTTTTTCCTTTATTCCTCTTTGCCTTCACTTGCTGGATGTCACTCCAGCTCAAGCCATCTTAACCTTTTCTATCTCTCACTATTCATCTCTCTCTGGTCTGTCTTTGAACTGTCCTGGTACCCTGCATGCTCCTTCTGTATTTCTGCCCCTGTCTCAGGCAGTGACACTAGAGTGTGTGAACTGTTGAGCAGCGGGGCAGCCCCAAATAAGGTCTGAACACACAGCCCATGAAGCTCAACTGTTTAAGAGACTGTCATCAATTGCACACGCATACTTACGAAACCTATTTAACAGCCAAGGCTGTGATTAATTGAACCAGTAGTTTTTGTTAGTTACAAGTTAGAAAGCTTGGAACAGTATTTACAGATCGACTCTGCATGCACGCTTTAACCTGTGTGTGTGTGTGTGTGTGTGTGTGTGTGTGTGTGTGTGTATTTGTGTGCGTGCATGCGTGCATGCGTGTGTGTGTGTGTGTTACAAATGCTTTCACTCATGTTTTATAGACAAACCATCTTTTTGGCTCATCACTGTTCTCTTGGAATTCATCTGTACTACTATAAACAGTTTACATCAAAATTGCGTTGACCTGAGGACTGAGAGTTTACAGCCTTGAAACAAGCTTTAAGCAGCTACAGTTCTTTTAGGCTGAATTTAGATTTTCACTAAATGCTAACATACTAATGTCAAAGCATTTTTACCTCCATATTTTAGCTTTTTTTTGCATGCTAGTATGCTAAATGGCACTATACACAAAATCAACCAGACTATTATGAAATGTTCAATATTTTTGCAGGTATCTGGGAAAAATTAAAGAGTTAAACCAATTAGATTTTGATGTGAAGATGGCATAGTCATAGGATCATCATAACCATGCAAATATATGCTGTGGGAAGTTTGAACAATGGAAACAAATTCTGTAGCAATGCATACAATAGTTGGCGCTATATTTCACTCAAATGACCAAAGTCCCCCCGTGGCATTGTTAGGATGTGTCCTTCTGCAAGTTATGAAACAACTGGTAAACAATGTTCTCAGCTGTACTTATTGTATATCGTCAGATTAAATTGAGTTTATTTAAAGTTAGACCTTAATTTAATGCTATATGCCAACAACACTGAAAGTCATTTTATTGAGACTTATCCATTTTGAGCTAAAATCCTGTCTTAAATCCGAGGGAAGAAAAAAGCTTCCACTGTGGGTTTAGTAAAGGTTATTACAATTTTACTGTAATCATAATTCAGTGATTATCTTCATAATTACTCACATTTGTATCTGATAAAACATTTTTGAAGTCTCTGTTGCAGACACGTTGAGTCATCAGTTTGTGATAATACCGACTGTCCAGATGTAACAACAAACATGCCAGGGACTGAATACATTCACAGCTTTATGCTTGGAGAAACACACAAAGTCTTGTAGAGCATGCGTGTTTGCAGCAAACATAAGTAATTCAATTGATACAATTTCAGTAATAGTTTGGACAGTCTTTGTATCAGAGTTTTCCTCTTCACTGAGTCACAGTACAGCCTGAGATTTTTGTGTTGTATCGTTTTAATCACACACAATGTGTGTTTAAGCTTCCAGTCTTGGCGGCTAATGGCGGCTTCCTTATCATTGTATTCTGAGGCTGTCTCCTCTTTCTACCTGTTTGTTTTATGGTTTTAGTCAGGGAGAATAATTTATGTAGTAAAGTAAATGTAGTCATATCACACTATCAAATTCTGCAAGTGAAGATGCTTACTGTGCACTGCAATGTACACAGTTAGAATTGGGCCAGGGACTTTGGCTGCATCTGTCTTTCACTCACTTTCTAAAAAATCTAGGAATCTTGGAATCTATGAAAACAATGCTGCCATAAAGTGATTCTGGGAAGTAATTAAAAAGTTGAATTTTCACTGCATTCTTTAATAATCCAAACACTTTAAGTCTGATGTTTTTATTTCAGTAGGACAAGAGCGATGTTCAAACATTTCACAGTATCTGAACAAAGTTTGTATTTATCTGAATTCTTGTTAGTAATTGCTTACAGTAATATGCCACTTCACCTCGCAACATCGGTCTCATTTTCTGAAGATGAGCACTACTTTTAGATTTTAAAATATAATGTAATGGAATTTATGTATGCCATTTTTAGGGCCACCTAGACTGTATGAGTGTATGTAAAAATGTAAGCCATTGCATTTTTATCATGCTTTTGCAACTCTTTATTTTGCGTTGCTCTATAGGCTATTCCAGCATGCAGGTTTGGTTTAAGTCCTAAAAATCCCCAAATTCCTCAAATTCATTTTTTGTGCACAATCTTTTTTACTCGTGTGTTATTCACCCACCGCCTACGTCAAAGAACAAACACCACAAACTTACAATTCTTGTTATAGTAACTTCTTTCCAAATCTCCTCTTTTGTCAATATGAAATAGTTTAACTGTGTTTCCTTTCTGGTTCTTTCTCATTAACTGATCTTGAGAGGTTTTAGAAGCTTTAGAACAAGAAAGGGGAATGGAGGGAGGGGAGGAGGGGAGGAGGGGAGGGAGAGGGGGTTTGTCTGATAGCCCCAGAGCGGGAAATATTATGACAGATGCTCACAGAGTCAGAGCAAAGTGCTGGTAAGACGGTCGTGGAGAGACTGCCAGCAATCTAATATTAGCCAAGCACATGGCTGCCTTTAGTATCAGTCATTAAGCCGGCTAAACATAGCACATTGCTTCTCAAGCCTCTTTCCAAGTTCTTCTGTTCTACCACTGACCTCTGCTGGGTACTCTGGTGTCTGGGGAGAAGCTGGACTGCCTTTTGCAGTGATGAGTGAATGTCTCAGTCAAGAATTTGCAGAAAAAGGAGAAAAAGAACTCTGACCCTACAAGGAATAAGTGTGAGAACTTTCCAGAGGGGTGCGTCAGGACAAAATGTTCTGATCTCAGATTAGTTATCTTTGGTTAAACTTTTGTTGGATTCTTTTTGAGGCACCTGATCAAAAACTCTGATTTTGAAGTAACCATAAACCTGGTGTTAGAGCGTGCTGTGCTGCCCTCGTCTGGTCGAGCCGATCATTCCTGTATTCTGTAAAGATAAAGGAGAAAACAAACGCAACTACCCCACCCTGTTGGGCCAAACATACTTCCCTTTCCTCTGGATTTCTTCCTGTCTCCTTCATTTCTGTTTTGTCCTTTTTACAAGCAATAAATCTTTGCCACAGAGCATTTCCTTTTTCTCCTTTTCCTGTGTTTCAAATAAGTAAGAAGTCCCACCTCAGGTCCTTGTGTCTAAACATAGCACCTTTTGTGTAATAGGTCAGGTTGGTCAGTTAGCGTGACACTACAGGCCAGATCTGTATCTTCACAGCTTCTGATGAGGAATTTGCAGAGGAATCTGATATGGCTGAATGGACTTTATTTGAAAAGATGTGTCAGCTTTGGTCTGATGGTGTCCACAGCGTATCATTCTGTTTTTCTAATTGCTTTGTTCAAAGTTTGAAGATATATTTATAGGCTGTAATCACAGTGAGAATTGTTTTGTCTATTTTAACTGTCTCAGTATCTTATTGATAGTCATGTCCAAGCATTGCAATACCTAGTTTGATCACACGAGGGCAGCCTGCCTCACTTTAATGAAAAGGAACTGTTGCATAACTCGTGCTACCTTCACATGCTCAGTCACTGATTGATGAAACTCAAACTGAGTCAGGGTTAATCTGTGTACATGCTCCTTTGATACCACTTGAAGGGGTCTGTGGGGCTATAAATAAACTTAAAAAGCGTCTGCTAAGGGAATTGTAACATTGCATAACAATAAAGTCTTGTCCATACGAGAAAAAGGTTGTGGCTGCAGATTACTGTAAGAGGAGGACACAAAACAAAATGACACTATTCAAATTCTTGATGTGGAATAATGCAAATAATTTGTGTTAACAGGAATATGGTAAAGAAGTCGACTACAGATTAAATTACTTTAAATGTTTTTCAAATTTTATTTTGTAAATGCAGAAGAAACACTTTGTAAGATATCTTTTTTGTAGAGGGTTTTTGATTCAAGCGTGCAAAATATGCAAATTAGTGGCTTCCTTGACTTTTAAACCAATGCGTGTACAGTGAGTTGTGTTAAGCCTTTGTGTGCACGCAAAACATAACGTCCATGTGTTTCCATGCATGTCTGTGTGTGTCGTCCCTGTCATGGGAATAATTACATCCAAGGCCCCCTGGCTTAGAGTAACAGCAGGGTTAGTTTGTTGTCCCAGCAAATGGATTTCCATGGGAAAAGAGACCCAAGACACTGCCTCCCATCACACAGACACACTGAAATGATTTCCAAGCAGGGAGTCCTCGGCACTGCTCCACATTCAGGAGCCACAGCCTGCGTGATTCATTAAGTTGGAGAGGTTTGCTCTGACACAACAGACGGGCAGCAGAGAGCTGTGGATGAGCAGATTTAGAGAGGGACAGGGAGAGAGATGAGAAAGAGGGAGAAGGCTAACTCAACAGACTGTAAGAGGAGCAAGGTTGGCTGCTGTCTGTTTCTTTCTCTTAATCCTTAAATCTCCTATAATCAGGATGAGAGGGAGAGAGCATGTTGCCTGACTTAGGACAGCACAGTCTATGTTGGGACCTGGATGGATTTCTGCAATCTAACTGGCCAGTTGGAGAGATGGAGGGGAGGGGGGAAGGAATTCAGCGGGTGTCAGTTTGGGAAACGTAAAGTTACCAGTTTCCAGCAAGAGCCAACAGGAAGAGTGGAAGTCCACTATGAGAGGATGGTTTAACCCAAAAGACAAAGAGAGGAGGACCTACCCTTGACTGGATTGTTTGAGGGTGAGACTCTGACAAGTTACTTTATGATTTGAGAATTCTGCTGTAGCATGGTTTAGACTAGAGCAACAACAGAGAAAGCTAATATCTGGGAGACAGAGGAAGATGTTTGATCGTATAGCATGCTGTTTCTCAGCAGTAAGAGTGGGCCACAATGGCAGAGTTAAAGTAGAAGATTTCTATGTTTGTGCAAGAAGTGGAAGAAAGAGCTAACATTGTGCAATGGCGATCTTCATTTCTGCATCATACATTCGCAGAATTAGGAACCTGTGTTTATGGGATTAATGGAGTTGAGCAGCTCTATCTGGCATTTAACAAGAGATTACCCAAAAGATGCACTTACTCTAATGACTTTGCATTAATGTGTCATTGTCAGCATGTGCACAGCGACTTTGTGCACACAATTATTAGACAGCATTTGTTCCTTGAGTGGATGTGATGTAGTGATGTATGTAGGAGCCAAGGAAGCTTAATGACTGCCACCCTCGATCCTTCACTGGAAAGTAATCATGCTACTAAGTCTCTTCTAAAGAGATTGTGCCATGTCCCTGTGTAAAAACATGACATTCATGGATTGCCTTTTGAATGTTTTTTGGATTTACAGAAGAAAACTGCTCGATATTCCAATGTTTATGTACTGCAGAGACATTTGACAGGGTTCAGACACCATGGCAGATGCTGTCACTGGCCTAGCCCCCCTTGCTTCTGGCACCATATGGCCTTCTTAACCCAGTACACTCCTCCTACAACGCCTTCATTCATATATCTCCCACAGCCTTAGCTTCTAGGGATGCAAAGTAATTTCATTTGCTGTAGCTTTCATTTATTAGGAGATAGATCTGCATGTCTAGCATACTTTTCCACACATTAATCAGCTTAAATATGCTAGAAATATGGGTTTACTCTCATCACTCTCTTCTCTTCTTCTATAAATGGCTGAGCTTGTAAACAAACATTGGTGAAAAGCATGTTATAAAGTCAGCCCGCATTTTTTTTTTTAAATCACAGACTTACAGATCAGCTGCTCTGACAGGAGGGTTGAGGTGAGGTGAAGCTTCTTATCCTCTTTAGGCATCATGCCTTATAGACAAGGACCTTTGAGGACTTCAGCTCTATTCACCATGTCATCTTCAAAGGCGGGTTTGCAGATTTACTTCAACCATTCATGCAAAACCCTAAAAAACATGACACTAATATTACACATAATTGACACAATTTTTTTTACAACCACAACACCTTTCATATTAGTGTAAGTAAACATTTCTATGCCCTTATTAATGGCACATGAGTTGTCTATTGGTAGGTCGACAGAGTTTTGCAGTCTTAAATCATGCCCACAGCTTGGCAAATCTGCTTGAACTTAGAGGTAGTGCAGGCCATCACACTATTTCTTGTAAAGTTTAACATTTTATGCCCATGATTAATGAAACTCAATCTTTTTCTCATTTAAGATGTGGGATTTTGTGCAGCAGACCTGACATCCAGGTGTGATCCCAGGCAGAAGGGGGTCCAATGGCCACTGCAAATTATGACCCCCACTTGGGCGAAGGCCCATCTGGGGACTCAGAGATCCTCCTTGATGATTCTGACTCAGGGAGCGTCCTTTCTGATGACTCAGTCCTTCCTGAATATGAAACGGATGAAAAGTATACAGAGCCACCCAAAACGTTGTATGAGGCCTGTGCCAGAAATGCCAGCGTATCCCTCCGCCGGATCCTGGAGAGAGGAGTAACAAAGGAAGAGGCCATGGAGCTGGACATCAACGGAAGGGTGAGATGGATTCCATTTCTCCTTTTATCACACTATAGGAAGTTGACTTTCACATCACTTCAGAGGTCTGTATTTCTGCAACAAAAAGTTTAAATAACAGTAAAGTGAGAGTTGGATAAAGGTCAACTTATTTCTTTCTTTTATTCTCATCAGAATGGTCTGATGCTGGCTGTAAGCAAGGGCTTTATAGACATTGTCACGATGCTGCACACGTGTCCATTCATAGACATCAACCACCAAGACAATGATGGCAACACTGCTCTAATGATAGCTGCCCAGGCAGGTATGTCTGTAGGCAAAAACAGCACATAACACTAGCCTCTAGTCTTGAGTCAATACTCACAATCTTTGTCAATTCAGGCTTCATCACCATTCTGAACTACATCCTCAACTTCTTCTCGGGTGTGGACACTGAGGTCAGAGACCCTCGTGGCTTCACAGCCCTCATCAAGGCAGGCCTGCAAGGCCGAGAAGAGTGTGTGTCCGCCCTGCTTATGCATGGTAAGTTTGTGCTTTCTAAAACCTTCAATTAACTTTTTAAATGTTGTATTTAAATGACAACTTTCGGTATGCATGCACGCATTATCAACAGAAACTATTTTTTTGTGACAGCCTTCCCTGATTTTTACTTTTCTGCAGAAACTCACCAATAGTAATTTTCCCCTGGTTCAGGAAAAGGCTACATTTACCATTGTGTTACAAGTATAATTAGACTTTGTACAATATAAATCTGCTCATGCAATCATAAACCAAATAGTTGTTATATACATTTGAAGTACAGGGTAAATCTGGACAACTGATCTGGGAACTAATCCGGTTCTACTCTAGGCTGCTTGGATTAGTCCTGTATAAACACATTTAGTCAGCACTGAAAAACTTCAAACCAGAATTGAATTATGCAGCGACAAATTGAAAGCATTCGTCAATATGATAGTAGTATATGAGAGCAAGCGTGGTGAAGGAATATATGATAAGTGTTTAATGTTGTAATGATATGTAATTAAATCTGGATTATTCATGACGTGGATTTATAAATCTCTAAAACAGGCACTGCTGACTGTCTTCCTTAACCAATGTGTGAAACTACATATTTACAACCTGATACTCTGGACTGATTTGATTTGGGGTTTTTTTCTGCTCTATTATCTGTATCCTGTTTCACCTTGATGTTATATGACCTGCCTTACCTCTGGTAGTGTTGTGCTATTGTCTACTCAATTAATTGTGTTAACCACATGGTGTGTTACTTGTTGGAGGACAAAGTTAATTTCCTTCCATCTTGTAGAATCCCTGGCACTTGTAAAATATGTCCATTCAATGGAGTCTTGAGCCTTTTATGACCTTATTTTAAGATATGATAAACATATTTTCAAGATATCATTGCCCATCAAATGAATTTCATTAATGACTTTCAAAATGCATTCTGCTTTTACCCCCCTTCCCATGTGCAGGTGCAGATATGAATGCAATGGACCTGGTCCAAGGGAGAGGTCTGAAGGATTGGGTTCTTAGGACAGGAAGGTTCGAGACTCTTTTGCGACTACGGCGCCTGCAGGCTCACCCTGTTGCTGAGCAGTTCTGTGAAAGCTACATTCCAGAGTGGCCCGAGCTGAAGCAACTTGTAGCAAAGGCCACAGGCAGCAAATCAGCCAGTCAGAAGCTGAGGCAGCGCATTAAAGACAGCCTTACTTTTAACTTCCCACATGACCCAGAGGACAACGGGGTGTTGGACCACATGGTTCGGATGACTACCAGCATCCACAGCCCCCTTGTAGCAACAGGCTGCCGACCCCTCTGTCCCTCCAGCCCCCCAGAGATCGGCAAGCGTCGGTATGCCATCCCTGAACTACTTGAAAAGCACAGCATTAAGGAGTTAGAGGAGAGCACAGTATCTCACAGTAAAGGCTTCTTCATCTCTGCTTCTCCCACTGCTGTGTCAGCCACATCTGTGTCTCTGACCTCCTGCTGCCAGGACTCAGAGCGAAGGGAGAGCATGCCATCAGGAGGCATGAGGAGCTACATTCCTCGCAACGTGGTACACAGAAACAGCATCTTCCCCTCGGGCTGTGTTCCCAAGATTGAGGTGACAAAATCTGGAGAGCCCACTCCAAAGAAAGAGAAAAAGAAGAAGAGGCAGAGGGGCTACCTGGAGCCTCCAGTGTGGAAGTACAAGGAAGCCAAGGAGGAGAAGAAGAGGGAGAAAAAGCAACAACAGGAAAAGGAAAAAGAAAAAGAAGATAAAAAAATGAAAGGGTCCAAACGTTCAAAATAAGGAATTAAGGGAATTTCACTGTGAAAATTTCAAGCATGAGTGATGACATGTGTGTCACCATGACACAAGTTTAAAAGACGGAAAAGGAACTGCAAAGGTTTGGAAATGTGCAGTTGACAGATTAAACCCACTGATGGTTTTGAACTTTGGTTTGGGCTGAACATGACTAGTTGTGATTTATTTCAGCTTTGAAAGCTGAACATTTCTATGGTGCACTGTGACATGTCATATGCAGACATTACAAACACTGACTGTTGACTTCTACACAAATATTTATTTTGGGAAAAAAACTCAATATTTATGAGGAACACTGTGAATGTTTTCTAAGTAGGGTGCCATCTTATTAATAAGCAATAGCAAATACTGTGTATTTTAGTTAGTTAAACGGAGTTGAATGGAGGGAATGACATAAACATATTAAACTCTGATTTGTTCCTCTACAGCAAATGCTTAAGAGAAAATGGCTGCTAACCAACTGTTATAAGTCTCAGTGTCAGTCTTCAATGGGAGTACCTCATTAAACAAAGTGTTGTATAAATTGGATTGAGGAAGTAATGGGGGATTGTATGCTTGCAGTCTCTTGCATACCCACCAGTTGAAGGCAAACGCACATTATCAAGAATGCATTTTTTTGTTTAGCTAATAACAATATATTGGTATAAAAAATGTCTGAGGGTATAGTGCCGGCTGCAGTCCAGAGTTGAGATCATTTATTGCAAATCCAAAAACTCTTTTGAGCTAATTATATAAGTTGTTTCGTTTCACTTTTTAAAACTCTAATTCAGCAATGGTTTGTTCCATTATACAGTTCGGCCATTCAGTTGTTCTCACAAATTCAGAAACAGGAAGTGAAACAAGGCTATGAAACACATCTTAAGTTATGACCAAAACTGCCAAGCAAGTAGACAGATCCTACAATCCCTCAAAAACTAAGAGCTGAGCAAAGTAGAGGCTACCTTTGAGCTTAAAACTCTGAACTGAGACTCAAAATAATACGTCTTTGATTTTTTTTTTTTTTAAAAGACAGAAATCCATTACCTTATTGAGTTTTGTAAAACACTTTTCATTTTCATTGTCCTATAAATGTTAACCAATCCTCACTAATGAAAATTTATCAGCCTATTCTGTCTCTTTAAAGGATTGTAATGCTCCATTCTGTTTTGCCGGGTCATGTGAATGGTAACCGTAAAGATCCAGAAAAAAAGGGACTGAGTCTTACCCTCAAACATTTTGTCTGATAATGATAGACCAATCACAAGTCATCAGTCTACTGGTGCTAAAGGTTCTATGTTTGATGAGCTGTTTTATGATTACCAGAGTTGCTGTTGTATTGTTATTTTTAAACAACAGCAGATTTACTTTCTGCAGAGCAGTCCATGCACATCAAAGAAATGATTTACCCATCATGTTACTCAGGAAGTCTTTTGTAAAAAAAAAAGTTGGTTATACTGTATACATAACACATATTTCAGGGCAAGGCTAAAACTGGAATAAATACTTTAATATGTATGTTACTGTCTTAACTAAGAAAAACATATGTTTAGATACTTTGTATTTAAAAGGATTATTTCACAGTGAAAGCAGGACACTCAGCATGCTCAGGTCTTTTACATCTTAACTGTGAGAAAATGTGTTTATATAAAATCTTTTGTGAGGAGGAAAGAGAGTTTGTCACCTTTTATTACTGGACTGCACGTCTACCACATATTCGGTACAATTACAGTACTGTATACAGTGTTTGTCTATTTTGGAGGAAACAACATTTCAACTTTGTTTGGTGGCTGACAAGAGCAGTTAGCCAAATGGCTGTTATAAGGAGAACAACAAAAAATCAAGAACAATGAAAATTCATAAACACATACAAAGTCCAATGAGAATAGAACAACTGTAACCAGCTGCATGCTGAAAAAGAAATGCTGCAGAAAATGAAACAAATGCACAAAGAGCAAATACACTTTAAAACCACAAAGAGGGTAAGATCGAAGACACAAAAACCTGAAAAGACAAAACATGGAGAAAAATAAGGGATAGGATTTCATAAAATGACTGATTTACAGTTAAATGTCTGGAGCACTTCTTAATGTCTGCACTTTTTTAATACTTTGCATCATCATTGTATTCATACTGTATTTTCTGTTAATGTAGGCTATTTGTTCTGGCAATCTGCAGCATGGTTTTTTTTTTTTTCATTTGCCTCCAAAGGTAACTCGTTTCTGATGTTAATATGTGTTTGCTGACTTTGCATTGTCCCTGAATTTGGAGCCCAATGGAATCTCAATCTACAGCTATTGCAGTTTCTTTGCTCTTGTCGACCACCTAAGGTAGTAAATTGATTGATGTACCTCTTTCCTGGCCCATAACCTTGATTACTTTTTCACATAAACTTACTTTGAGCTTCTTAATGAAGCCTATAATGCGCTCTTGAGAGTGGCATGGGATGGCTTTTGAATCTTACTGCGTAATCCTTTAATCCAATGTGCAGTATATAACATACAGCGTTTGTTAGTTAGCCTTAAATGCCACTTTGGTTTGGGAAAGAATATTTTATGGGATTACTTGTTTTAAATAAGTTCATTTTCATGCTTACATTTAAAGTAAGTCAAACGATATCTAGAATATGTCTCCAAATAGAGACATTTTCACTATTTTGGCTCACTTCCTCTTAGCAGGAGGGAACTTCGGGACTTGAGGTCAGCTCTAAAATGAATACAGATCTGTTGAGTGAAGGAACAGTAAAGAGACTTGTACTGCACACATCTGTCTGTAAAAGTCTGTAAAAATGTAAGCTCTGGAAATGACTATTTATGCTGTCTTTTCGCAGCTTAAATATTGACTTTCTGAATGAGTCATGTCTTTAACAACAGTTTACCTTTAAAAAAAAAAAGGAATGTATTAAGCAATATCACGTTTCCTGTACTTCAGTGGATAATTTAAAAAAAAAGACTTGTGAATCTTAAGGAATAGGGCCATGTGGCTCTTGGAACAACTGAGATAAGCAAAGATGAAAAATAAGCACAGATAAATAAAAAGAAAACAATTTTCTGTCTTTTCTACATAACAGATTATGTGAGAGCTTCCAGCTGTTTCTTCAGCCTGAAGCCAAAAAAGAGAGAGATTACAGAGCCTGAGAACAAGGAGGGGAATTTATATTACACACAGGGTCTGCTGAATGAAGCCTTTTCACACAGCAGAGTCTGTCTGGCATCCAGAAGTCAATTGCATTTACGAATAAGTTACACTTTGACTTCCAGAATTGCTGAAACAGAAAAGGCACTTAAGCTTTATTGAGTCAACCTGAATATGAAGAGATGTGTAAGATTTTTTAATTTCAACACTCACCTAATACAACAGACGCAGATTAGCAGGATAAAGTGGTTTCCTATTTACATTGGACGCGAGCATCACAGTACCATTCAAGCTTCATGGCCCACCTTTGCGTCCTTGTCCGAAAAGAATGGAGCAATAGGCCGAAGCCATGTGTAAAAATTGCTTTTCCCTATGTAACCTAGAAATCCCTTCGGTATCAAAAGCTTTAGATTCTGCCAAATTGCTTCTTTTTTAAGTTTGTTTATCCCTGACAGTGTACGTTCTTAAGGCTTGAATGTGAGATTCTGAAGGACCTCTGATGAAATGGCTCTATATGTTTGGCCGTTGGGTTCAACAAACTTTCTCTAGAGTGGCACAAATAGGCCTACATCTTTAAAACCATGGGGGCCTCTTTTTTATGTCAACAGAGTAGGCCTATTTGTTTCTGCTGCCCCCAACAACAACAAAAAACAAAAGTTATAGCAGCTTTAACTTTTAAACCAGAACATGTTTATTCTAGTTGGAAAAGGTAACTGTAGGCCTATATCTTTACGATCCTATTGTTATTCGAAGCAAATTATAAAATGTTCCATAGCCCCTATCTGACACTGTTGCTTAAATGCAAGATAAAGTTATAGGCCTATCTTAAAATCAAGATAATGGTTTAGGCTCAACTGATAAAAAAAAAAAAAAGGAGGCGAAAGTGGAAGAGATTTTGTTTTTTTCCCCAGAAAAAAATGTTATTGTGTCAAAGTGGGGTCTTTGAAACACATTCCTTTCAGTGCAGCGCAGACAGCAAGTCCACAGGGAAAGAGGAAAATGAGAGGTTTGGCGAGCAACAGGAAAACCGCTATGAGAACACATTCCAGGCAGAGCAGGCTCTCTCTGTACGGGACAATAAGGGGTGGGACAAAACGCTATACTGTTTAAAAAAAAAAGAAGTAATCTTGCCTTAAGATCAGGACCATAGTCAACAACAAAAACGTGTTCTTAGTTAATAGGAGAGGACTTGCAGTGAGCCTTGACTTGTAAAGCGGAAGGAGTCTGGTCTGGTTCCAGTTGTCGGTTTATCATCGCAGATTTGGACCGAGATGAGATAGGCTTCAACCCGCTGTTTGTCGGCCTCTGGCCACAGCACAGCACAGCCAGTCAGTTCTTTCTTCTTTTTTTTCCACTTCTTTTCACATTTTGAGACGACTTTTTTCCTCTTACCGAGTGAGTAGTTTCGGAGTTTTCGGAGTAAATCGAAAATCTGCGGAGGAACTTTTCTCAGAAACGTCGATTGGTTTGTGACCGAAGCAGGAAAGGATGTGAGGCTCTCCGCGGATGAAACATCTGCAAACCGAGCATTTCAGACGAAACATTTACTCCATTCCTGAAATGAAGACAGTTTTGTTTTAAGCGTATTTTTTTTCTTCCCCCCTACTTTGACTCGAAACACTTTCGCAGCGGAGGGACGCTTCAGGTTAACTGTGATATGGGAGACGTGCGGCGTTTGCGTCTGTCAAGTTAAAAGACGAGCAGGAAACAGGTAACCGTATAAAACATGATTTTATCTCACAGTCAATGTTTTAAGCCCACTCAAGTGTTTCATAATGAGCCAAAGTTGCTACAACTGAACGCCTACTTACTTACTTACTTACTTACTCACCTGTGACTGCGCCTTTCATCACTGCACGTGTTTCCAGATGTGTGAACAAACAGGTGTCAAATCGTGGCCTACCTGAGCAAATTTACATTATAATCTCGTAGTCTTTATCAGCCATTCTTAAAACAAACCATGTAGCTTTTAATGTTCTTATTAACATCGCCTTCTTGTAAACATCACCTGTATCGTGATTTGTTTCCCTCAATGCAGCTACATTTTTTGCACAGCGTGCTAATTAGTAGCATCCTGGCTGTTCATTAGCCATTATTGAGCACTTCTCCTTTTAGTACCTCAACCTGATAAGTGTAAGTCGTTGTACATGAATTATGATCTTAATGTGCTTTTTTCTTACTTCTAACTTCATTAGGGTCGCACTAAGCAAAGGATGCTAAGATCATAATTCCTGTTGAACAATGTCCTAACTTACTTTCAATAAGCTGTAATTAAGAGGTATACAAACTCTTAGTTAATGGCCTATTACCTATAGAGTCTAGACTATGCTCATGTTAATAAGGTACTAATAAGTGCTTAATAAAGTCTAATAAACAGCCGGTACACTACTAATTAGCATGCTAATAAGCAACTAGTTAATGGTGAATATTGTGAACATAATTTAAAGTGTTACCTAAATTGAATATCAAAACTATAAACTATCAAAGTATTGATATTTGTATTAGCCTCAGAAATCCTGTATTACTCAGTCTATAGGGGATAAGAAGCTTTCACAGTTTGAGATTTCACTTGTAAATTAAGATACTTTGCTCTTAAAGCAAGTTAGTGTTGTTGTGAATATATTCATGTCTATAGTGTACTATGCATTTGTTTTGAGGATTGAGTTAAAGAAGGTTGTTTTAGAATCCTCCAAACACTTAGTTTGACCTAAATGAACAGATTGGGTTGCCAAGAAACAGTCATTTTGTTGATACAGGTTACATTAATTATATTCCCCCTTGTACTTTAAAGTTATGGCAGCAATTAACAGAAAAACAGAGGATGTTCTTCCGCAAGACTTCACCACTTTGCTGTTCAGTTAAAAAAGCTTTCATGGTCTGGGTCTGGAAAGGATTGTATACCGCCTGCTTGACTTGACTTTGTGGCAGGACCATATCCCGTGAAAAGTTCTACCATTGAAATGTTCACACTCGGTGACGAGGGTTGGTTTCATATCAATGTTAATCAGACCTGAACTTCTCCTCCCTGCATATAGATTTAAACTTGTTCCTTTCCTTTACCTATTCCACACACTTCTTTTGTCCTTTTTATGCATGGCTCATGATTTAGACCACACATGCTCTTTTTTTAGATGGGCGCTTCTCTGGTCCATGATATCACTTTGGTCTTTCTTTGTTCTCATGCTTTAATGTATTTACTGGAAATTTGTGCATGCATTATGTCTGGGCTATATTCATCCCTTTCTTCCCTGGACATGCATTCTTTGTAGGTATACATGTGAGAGCATGCAGATAGCAACTGAGCCATATAGCCTGGCTTTATCTGGTAAACAAAAGATGCAGTCAGTCTGTTGCGTTAACAAGCAGACGGCCCAATCCTTGGATTAAATATATATTTATATATATTAAAACAAAAAGCATGTGTGGCTAAGCAGTTGAAAAAAATGAATATAATAGGGTTTTTTTATATTCGAACCACATGATAGAAGCTTTTACATTAATCCTGCTGCAAGTTATTTTCCAAAAC